CTTAATGTGTTTACCCCAGGGAACCTGTCTGGGATGAGGGAGGGATTATGTACACAGGTGGGGTGGCACTGGGCTGGGTGGGGGAGGGAATAATTTATCCGCAGCAGCGGTGGGTGACAAGGGGACGGGGGCAGTAGACTTGTAGAAGTGGTGGTCTAGGGGTCTCGCTCTTTCTTAACCTTGATGTCTCCAGCAAGGATGGTGGCGATCTCACCCTGCATGAAAGCCCAGGGGACGGAGGAGCCCACCAGCGGGCACTTGTCTCCACTGGGGCAGTACACCTCACCAGCAGGGCCCTGCGCCTTGATGAACTCTCGCGAGCAGGGAAAGCAGAACTTGTGTCCGGGCACTGAGGGGCACTGGACGAAGTGGGTGTCTTCCAGCCGCTCCCGGCATAGGGTACAGCACAGGGGGGCCCCAGGGGTTGCCCCAGTGCTGCCACCACCCCCGCTAACAGCTTCTGCCCCGGCGGTGGGGCTGACTTCAGCCTCACCATTGCGGGCCACGAGGCGATGCTGGGCTGCAGGCTGGGCTGTGGATGCTGCTGGGCTGGCACCCCCTGCTCGGCCAGGGCCCCCACCCCCACCAGGGTCCTTGGGGGAGTGGCCCAGGGCTTCAGCCACATTCTTCAGGGCAGCAATGGGTGAGGGCACACCAGGGGTCTCGGCAGAGTATGGGCCACCAGGTGCTACCCAGTGTCGCTGCTGCTGCTGCTGCTGCTCCTCGGTGGTCATCTTCCCAGCTGCCTCACCCTCAGGCTCAGGGGATGCTTTGCGACGGCGTGCTGCGGGCGCCAGGTTCCTGGATGGGGCCCTCGGGGGTGGGCCACACAGAGCTGCAGGAGCTGGCTCTGGGTACTGCTGGGGCAGGGCCTCAGCAGGAGCTGGCTCTCGGAAGCTTCGGACACCATCGGTTAGCAGCTCCCCCAGCTGGCGCCATTCCCCTGAGCCGTGTCGGCGTTCGTATTCGAGGTACTTGAAGCCTGATGAGGCCAGTGCCTTGCCCGGCTCCCGCAGAGCATCATGAAACATCTGGCGAGCCACGGCCAGGACTCCTGCATACACGTTGCCAGAACCACAGGGATATTCGGTGAAGAGCTTCAGCTCAAACTCGTAGCCTGGAGGGCGGGCAGTAGCATCAAAGGCGAATACCCGCCCCACCAGTCCGTGATCCTTCTTGAAGCGAACATTGAAGGGGGCGCAGGCAGACAGCGCCAGCAGCTGTTCCCGCACTGCTTTGGGGCGCCCATGCCACTCCTCTGCCCTGCCCCGCATGGCCTCATTCAGTTCTGCCAGACAGTCTGCATTCCTCTGCTGCTTCTCCTTCTCGAAATCAGAGCTGAAGATCGGACGGGCAGGACTCAAGCCGGGTGCCAGCGTCAGACCTCGGCTTCCCAGGCCAGACACTGCAGCTGCCAGTAGCCCGGGGGGCACCAAGCCAGGCATGGAGCCAAGGAGGGCCCTTCTCGCCCCCTCCACCACTGCATCCTCACGGCTCAGCCCATTGGCCAGGCGGGACCCCAGGGTATACTCCAGGGCAGGTGAGGGCAGGGGGAGGCGGCTGGATGATGTGGCCCTGTCATAGCGGTCCTGGCCCGAGACACCGCTGCCAGTCCCCGAAGGCTGCGGCTGTGCCTGCGGAGGTGGCAGCTGGGGCCCCTGTGCAGTAGCAGCAGCCAGGTCCTTGGTGGCCTGATGTTTGAGGGCCGGGGGTCCCGGCGAGCGGCCCTCGGGGAGCACGTGGCTGCGTTTGAGCTGGCGGGCAGCGTCGATGAGCAGCTCGATGCGATCCGCGCCCTCAAAGTTCACGCATCCGCGGCACACGGCCTCACTGAAGTCCCATACCATGGCCCACGGCATCTTGGGCAGATCACACAGGTAGCACCACTGGCGGCGGGACGCCTGCACCGACGCCATGGCCCCTGCGCGCGCGCCGAAAAGCCCCCGCGTTTCACCCGCCGCCGACGTTCGATTCGCACCGTCGATGTTCGATTTGTGTCTCTAGGAAAGCGCGAGCCACAGTCGGGCCTCCGGCTCGGCCTCCCGCGGATCCAGGCCCGGCCCCCCTTCCCCGCCCCCTGGGCCCTAAGCCTTTTTCCTCACTCCCGCCTCCTTGAAAAGGAAGGCAGATGCACGTCGGCGCCCCCGCCCGGTCCAGGCTCCGAGCCGAGGCGCACAGCTCGGGGCCGGCGATGGGCAGCGGGCGCCGCCGCCTCGGGATCCCGCCGCTCCCGCCGCCACCACTGCAACGGCCACCGCCGCCTCCACCTCCTTCTGCCCCAGAGGCCGCTTCGCAGGGAAAGTTACATAACGTGCCGGCAAAGCCTTCTGGGAAATGTAGTCCCGCCGGGGTCGGTTCTTAAAGGGGACCGCAGGCGGCTGGGGTGTTGGAGGGAACTCTCAGCTTCTCTTCCGCACAGCTCTCACCACTACTTGCGAAGGGCAGGGAGTTCAGCGCGCTCGGAGGAGCTCACGCACTAGAGTTGCGAGGAGGATGTGATACGAATGGTCAGAGCAATAAAAAATTCAGAAACTGTAGGGGGCGGACATGATTCCGGGTGTCCAATTTCTGCTCCGACTTGCTGTGCAGCTTTAGGCGAAAGTCTTGCCCTCTCTGAAACTCAGTTCTCCGCCCATCAAAGGTAAGCCAATGATCAGTTAAGAAGGCAGGCGCTCCTGGGGCGGGGCGGAGGGGCCCTGATTGGATGGTTTCTGGGTAAGGGACGGGAAGTTGGCAATTTGATGGTGGGGGTGCGGGGGGAGGTTGTCCACTTGGTACTTTGTTTTCCCTAGAATCCTGTGTATCAAGCCTCTGACCCGGACCGGCAACAGCCGGACAAAAGAGAGGACTGAAGGCCTCTGCCTCAGTTGCCTTATCTGCTGGAGTTGTAAGCGCCCTTCAACTCTGTTGCAGCTCTGCCGGCGCGCTTTGGTCTTCAAAGGGTTACACTGTCAATTTCTCCGCCCGCCCCCAGCTTCACTACAATTCCCAAAATGCTCTGCGGGGCGGACAAACTGACGCACTTCCGCTGTCTGGGAGGTCTGGTGTGGGGGGGTTCTTCCCGATTCCCGCTGCCTGTCCTACCCCCACCCTCCCCTCGCCGTCAATTTTTGGGGGCTCTTTCCGTGTTTTCGGAGCACGAAGTTGAGGGGATCTTCGCATTCTGCTGCTCTCTAGCTTGGGGGAAGGAGGCCAGATATGGCGAGCAAGAATTGGCGGGGATCGTTTCTGGGGAGAGAAGCGCCAGACCACCCTTCTAATACCTTGAGTGCTTACTGTCCATAGGCCCCACTGGGCCCTGGGGACCCCTATGTGTTTTCTTCCTGGTCGGGTACAGTGCTAGGCCAGCTGGCGTGGAAGCTAGAGCGGGCAGACCGGTCTCCGAGTTCTAATTCACATTGGCCTTTTCCCAAGCCTGGGTTTGTGTTAAGGACGCAAAAATATTTGAATGTTTTGCCAGAGTTGAATTCATGTTTTTGAAACAAATGAGGGGCTGTCTGCCCCTTTCCTCATCCGACTGAAACCCTAGCACAGGGGTGTCAAACTCATTTTCACCAGGGGCCACATCAGCCTCCCGGTGCCTTCAAAGGGCCGAATGTAATTTTAGGACTGTGTAAATGTAACCACTTCTTAACTGGGGGCAAGGAGCTCTGTGCCGCCAGACAGAAACAAGGTGCTGGGTGATAAAACAAGGTGGAGGGCTGGATCCTGCCCTTGGGCATTGTGTTTGCCACCTGTGCTCTAGCCTAACAGCTCTGATTTAGTTACCCACCTGTATTATTTTTCTTAAAATGGACTCCTTTGAAAAAGACCACTTGTGGCCTCATCCTAAGTAATGCCATGTGCACAATCATGGGTTCTATGTACTAGCTGTGTTTTTGTGTAAGTCAAAGAGTGCATATAGAACCCTTGGAAAGACCATTCATGTATCACTGAAAATTGCCTTTAGGTAATTTTCTAGTCAACTCTAGTGGGACTCAGGAGTTCTGGCCAGATGCCAGCTTGAAGCAGACAGGGATTGGCACTGGACAAGTTCAAGGCAAGTTTCTAAAGTATTCAGGGAAAAAAAATGAGGACCCCTAGAGGCTGCTTTTCACTGGGTCTGTTTGGGTTTCGGTACAAACATGCATATACATGCTAAGCAGGGTGCCTGGCCCAGAAATGAGGCACTGTGGATGAAGTTTTTAAGCTGCTCATCGTCTCAGATACCACCCCTCTTCAGCTTTGGGAAGTGCTGAGGATGCAGTAGTGACTGAGATTGGCCAGGCCTCGCCCTGACGGGGCTCAGCCTGGCAGGTGTTCGATTTAAATGTACTCAAGTTATTACTTCACTGCGTTTTTTTGTTAACTGCTTGGGGAGGGGGCACCAGGAAAGGCTTTCCCGAGGAGGGAATACCTGAGCTGAGGCCTGCAAGGTAAATAGAATGTAGTTTAGGCAGTACAGACTCCTAAATAAAAAAGATGCCTCTTTCACAGATGAGGAAAACAGAGTCCCGTGGATACACACGTGGCTGGGGCAACACCAGGGGTTGGGCCAGGTTTGACTGAGGCCGGGTGGTGGCTGTTCCCTCCTTTGCTCCAGGCTCTGCAGCAGGTTTGGGAGTAAAAAAACCAGCCCCTGCCTTAATGAGCTACAGAGGAAATGTGGCTTAAAATAAAAGGCATGTTCATTTGGGGACACTACAAAAAAGAACCAGAGGACACAGAAAGAGAACCTAAGACACACACTCAACCTAGCCCCGGGAGAGAATGCAGCATGTTCTCCTGGAGGAGGCGGCAATCTGGTGGTACCTGAAGGGTGACTACATAGGAATGAGATTTGAACATGGGGCCCTGATGGCTTAAAAATAAAAATAAAAAAAGCTCCAGCCCCCTCCACCTTCAAGGGGGTATCATCTGCCCACAGGGGGCAGGGCAGGTATAGGTGCTGGAATCCCAGGCCTGTCTCAGCCAGAGCCTCGAGTAATTGTATTAAAAATAAGTTTATTGATTATCTTGTCACCACTGAGAAGAAAGGAGGGCGCTGAGCTCTGGAGGTCAGACTGCAGTGGGAGGCAGAAGGCCCCACCTGTGCCTCCCCAGTGAGAACTCGCCCCCTCTCCCTCATTGTTGCCCACATTCTGATTTGTCTTGCAACCCCCACTCCCTCCGAAGTCTGGATCAGGGGTGTGGGGAGGCCTCAACACAGCTCAACTCTCTTCAAGTCTAGACCAGGAGTGGTTAGGGAAAGGGGTGTGTGCAGACCCGCGAGGTTCCCTCTGCAGCCCGCCAAGGGCAGTAATAAATAACATCAGATTGATGGCTTAGAAGTCAGGGTCAAGGGAAGCAGCCAGGCAGACAGCGCTGTACTGGAGAAAGGGTTGGAGGGCCCATCAGCGAGGCCCCCCTCGAATCAGGCACTAACTAGTACAAGGAGTGGGGTGCTCGCGTCCCCGCAGCCGGGAGCCAGGGTGCAGCTGGCGCAGGGAAGGTGCACGGCCCTCCTCTGCTGGGCAAAGCTGGGCGCGGAGGTGCAGGCAGAAAGAGCGGAGACAAGCTCGAACCCAGTGGCAGGTTTCACGGAGATTTCCATCGCCCCCGCCTCTTCCGTGTGGGGAAACCTTTCCTCCTCTTGTGTGGGGGGGAGTCATGGGAAGGAAGTGGGGCTGCAGGGGGCCGGGGGGCCCCTTCCTCACTTCTAGGAGCGATGATCACCCCCCTGGCTGCCACCACAGCCCGGTCCATGACAGCAGCCACCACAGACACGGGCTCTGGGGTGATCTCCACCTTGGGGGTGGGTGGGGGCAGGACAGGCCTAGGGGGTGGGGGTGGGGGCAGAGGGTCAACTGGGGTTCCAGGCAGGAGGGGCAGCAGGGCACTCAGGGCCTCACTCAGTTTGGTCAGTCCCTGCCGCAGGGTGCCAGCTAGCTCCCTGATGGCATTGGCAGTCTCCTGCTGAGCCCGCAGGAAGTCCAGGGAGGGGTCTGGGCCGGAGAGCACCGGCAGAGGTGGTGGAGGGGGCAGAGGGCTGGGGGGCGAAGGTGCAGCTTGGACCTGCTGCGGTGGTGGGGGTAGTGGAGGTGGAGGGGCTGGGGGTGGTGGAGACAGAGCCAGACGGGGCAGCTGGACGGTCTGCAGGGCTGGAAGGGGCGAGGACTCACGCTCCTTGGGCGGGGGGCAGCCCCCTTCCTGGGGATTGCAGGAGGGCCGGGCCCAAGGCTCTGGGCTGCTGGAGCCCCCCTTGCTGTGGGCTGGTGTATCTGTGGAGAGAGAGATGTAGGTAAGGCGTGTGGGACCCTGCAATGCTGTCTGGATTTCCCCTTTCTACCTCCCACCCACCTCAGCCTGAGCCACGTTTTTAAAGCTTAAGTTCGATCATGTCTTACAACAGAAGCTCTTGTAGCCAGAGGAGAGACTCAATACATTTAACAGGAACTGGGTGGCCTATGCCAGCCTTAGTGGGAACAGGGTCCTGGAGGTGCCCAGCTGAGCCAGGCAGAGCCAACATTCTAGAAGGCTCTGAAGCATCTGGATACTCGGCCCCACCCATACCTCTCAGGCCTCCTTGCCGGGTCCTGGGGAGGTAGAGAAGGCCGGGGAGAGAGATGTGGTGGCTGGAGCAGCAGGGGGCACTTCTGGAGGCTGGAGCAGGGGCTGTCTCCTGCCAGGACGACAGGATTGCAGCCTCAGCTCTGGTCTGTACCCCTTCAGCCCCAGGCTTGCTGGGCATCCTTGCTCTCCTCTCACCTGGGACCTCACTCGTGCTCATGAACTTGAACACCGTCCATCCGCCTGCAGAGGTGCGCAGACTTCCAGGCCCAGCCTGAGCCTCTCCCTCCAGCTGTGTTCCTCTAACAAGGCCTCACGCTCACGTGCCCACAGCTGAGCTCCGGGTCCTCCCCAGACCTGACTCTGCCCCCGCAGCCGCCCCTTTGCGGCGGACGGCAGCTCAGTCCTTCCAACTGCGATGGCCGAAAAGTTTCACTATTTTCCTCTCCCAGGACCCCATCCATGTCCAAACACCATGGGCTCTGCCTTCAAACGAATCTAACGTCCAGCCACTTCTGTCCGCCTCCATGGCTCCCCACCCTGGTCCAACCATCATCTCCCACCTAGACTGAGGCAGCCGCCTCCCCACTGAGCTCCCTGCTTCCAGCCCTGTCCCTTCCAGTTTGTTCCCCATGAGAGCCTCAAGGGTTCAGCTAAAATACAGGCCAGTCACGCTACAGGAAAGCAGGTCACAGAGGACTCCATGTCACATGATCCATTTATGTGACAGGTCCAAACTAGGCAAATCTACAAAGATGGAAAGTAGATTAGTGATTGCCTAGGGCTGGGTGGAGATGGCGGGGCAGGAGTAAGGCCAAGAGGGTGAGGGCCAAGAGGTGTGGGCTTTCTTCTTGGAGTGATGAAAATGATCTGAAATTGACCACTGTGGTGGTTGCAGGCTGTGAACACACTAAAAGCCACTGAATTGGAGGCGTGAAACGGGCAGGCTGCATGGTATGGGAATTCTAGCTTAGTGAAGGCATTCACCAGCTCAAGTCAGCTGTTGTCTCTCTCCACTCAGCCTTCCTCTGGCTCGCATCTCACTCAGCAAGAGCAAAGTTCTCAGAGACCCCCAAGGTTCTGCACGATCTGCGCCCACTGCCTCCCAGACCCCATCTCCCTCCCTGCTCTCTCCCTTTATCTTACTCACTTGGTTCCACCATTGTGCTCGTCTTACTGGCCCTCAAACACACTGAGGTGCTCCTGCCTCAGGGACTTTGCATTCACTACTCGCTTGGCCTGGCAAGGTCTTTGCCGACACCTGCCTGCTGTCTTTTGGCCTCACCTCCTCAGGCCTCTGCTCAAAGGTGGCCTCCCTGTGAGGGCCTTCCTTCAGCCCCTGTCTTAAGTAGCTTCCACCCCTGTCCTTTACCCTACCTGATCTTTTTTAAAATCCTCACCCAAGGATATGTTTTTATTGATTTTTTTAGAGAGAGAGGAGGGGAGACATCCATGTGAGAGAGAAACATGGATTGGTTGCCTCCCATATGCGCCCTGACCAGGAATCGAACCTGCAGCCTTCTGGTGCATGGGACGATGCTCCAGTCAACTGAGCCCCCTGGCCAGGGCCCCCCCAATCTATCGCACTGATCTTCACCTGACATGGGACCACTCTGTGTATGTTATCTGTCCGCTCTTGATGTCAGCGCCGTCATGCCAGGCTTCGGTCTATTCACTGCTCTTTGCCCAGCACTTTGAACAATGTCCGGCACAGAATTTTTGGTTTTAGTGGGAGAACTGTGGCTCCCAGGGAGTCAGCACGGATGGGGCCAGCAGGCCCCAGGCCCTGGCAACAACCCTCCCAAAGCTCCCTAGCACCCACAGAGGACAGTCTAGCATCTCCTCGGGGCGACTCCTTGCCTCGGGGCCAGTGCACAGCCTGCCCCCCCCCCTGCATCACCCCCACTCCCTGCACCGCCCCTTGGCCAGCTCTAGCATTTCTCCCTCAGGAAAGCCTCCTTCCTGGTCCTAGGTCACAGCAGAGCCCCCGCTTTTCTCTGTCAATGCTAGCCAGCCCCCTGCAGCCCTGAGTGCTGGGGGTCCGGGCTCTCTGGGCCATGCAGGCGGGAGAGGGAGGGGAGGCCGGGAGTTAGACGATGACCACAGCTGACAGTTGTCCCACACTTTCCTGGCCAGGCCCTGGGCAAAGCCACTGAGCACTCCTGTGTTACTTCCCAGAGTCCTCTTAGACATCCTCTGAGGTAGACTGCTGTCACTATCCCCCCTCCTTACAGAGAAGGTGGCTGAGGCCCAGAGAGGTGTCACAGAGCTGGCGAGTGGCCGAAGAGGTACTTGAACCCAGGCAGGCTCCTGAGCCCACACTTTTAACCACTCCCTGGGCAGGGGCTGTGGGCCAGAGGGCAGCGAGTCTCACTCATAAGGGGCCTGGGAACTGCTGTCACTTGGAACTGTGGCTTCTCTGTCTACTGAGTAAAAGGAACAGAAAGGGGCCTGCTCTCCACGTCCACAGGGGTCATGGGGTCATGGAAGGGTCATCACACGTTACAATCACATTTATTTGTAAACTTTGAGCCTCAGGATGCGTGTGAGTGCCTGGGACCAAGGGACCCGATGACAGACCACCTTCCTGAGGGCCATTACTAGGAGCCAGTCACTGAGTCGACTCGTCATCGGCCTTCATGCCTGACACGCAGTAAACCCTGTGTCATTACTGTCATTGTTCTTTCAGAGAGAACCAGTCCCTCCAATGTCAACAAGCAGATCTCAGGCTGCCCCCGGCTGCTCAGCCCTCTTTTATGAGTTTTCCACAGTGGGTATCCTGTGTGATATTCTCATCAAGGATGCTTGAAGTACATTCCTGCCTCAGGGCCTTTGCACCTGCTGCTCCCTCTAGCTGGAGGGAGTGCTCTTTCCTCCAATGTACACCCACTTGGCTCAATCCCTTTATTCAGGCCTCTGCTCAAATCTCAGCTCCACAGAGAGGCAGCCGCTGCTACACTCTGCCTGGAGCAGCCCTCCTTCCACCACTGAACATACTCTTAACGCTTCCTTTGTCTTCTTAGTTATCGCTTCCTGCACATGATCTGCTTTGGGTTCCTTGTTTCTGGTCTGTCTCCCGTAATCAGAATGTCAGCTTCATAGGAGAAGGAAAATGGTCTTTCTGCACTGCATTCCCAGCATCTACAACACTGCCTGCCTCCTCAGAGGGGCTCGGTCACTCTCTGTGGGGTGAATGAAAGAATACAGGGTGTGAAAAAGTGAGTCTGCCGTGTCCGCTCCAGTTCCACGGGGCCCTGTCACAGAAAGGCTGAGGTCTGAGTCACTCTGAGAACAACTGTTCTAAGTGACCATGTCTCTCTCCTGCTTAGACACTTTCATGACCTCCAAATGCCCTCAAGATAAAGTCCAAAGTCTGACCTCCACTTACAAACTATGTGTGACCTCGTTCTGGCGTGCTCATTAACTTTCAGTCCATATTAATTGTTGTTATTGCCTGGCAACCCAGCCCAACAGTTAAGCGAATGGACTGTGAGTTGGACACAGCCTGTGCTCCAGTTTGGTTCTTTTCTTTTCTTTATTTGAGAGAGAGAGAGAGAGAGAGAGAGAGAGAGAGAGAGAGAGACTGATTTGTTGTTCCACTTATGTGTGCATTCATTGGTTGATTCTTACATCTGCCCTGACTGGGGATTGAACCCATGACCTTAGCTTATCAGGATGATACTCTAACAACTGAGCATCCTGCCAGGGCTATATTCCCATTTCAACTCTACTACTTACTTGCTGTGTGATGTTGGGCGAGTGAATGAACCTCTCTGAGTCACATGATCCAGAATTGTTTTGTTTGATCATGTCCCTCCCTTTCTCAAAACCCTTCAGTGTCTCCCCTCAGCACTTACATATGACTGACAGCCACACTCCTCACCTCAGCCTACAGGCCCTGCAGGGCCTGGTCTCAAACCTCATCTCCAAATGTTTCTTTTCTTCAGGCTTTCCACTCTCCTTCTCCTCCTCTTGTCTCCTCAGCCAATAAACTTCAGTTTTCTCAACTGATCAAACTTTCTTGCTTCCAAGCCACTGCACATGCTAGTCCTTCTATCAGGAGCACTTTCCCAGCTCTTCATCCTTCCTCTGTGTCTGAACTCTGATTTCTCCTCCTCCAGGAAGCCCTCCTTGACCTCCCAGGCCGGGTCAGCTGCCCGCTCTGAGTCATCACCATCCATGTATGCATCTGCCTTTCCCAATGGAGTGGGAGCCCCCGGAGGGCAGGGCTGTGGCATCTCAGTCACAGACAGAAACCCTGAGGTCTGATTTACACTAAGAATAAGGGCCCAGCTGATTGTATTTCTCTCTCTTGCTTAACACACTCTCATGACTCCCCAATGCCCTCAAGATAAAGTCCAAAGTCTGACCTTCAGTGTGTCCCCAACACCACCCAGCACAGGGCAGGTGCCTGGGGAACAGCTGCAGAAGGAATAATAATCCAGGGTCAAGGCTAAGTGGGAAGTCTTATATTCAGCTCCCTACACAGCCTCTACTCCGGCCAGGACCTCAGGAAAGTTACCAAACCTCTGTGAGACTTTGGTTTGTGAAATGGTGAAACAGTTCCTACCTCACAGCACTGGCAGTCATATCCAGATCTAACAGTGCGTGTTCAGGAGGCCGTATACTAAGCAATTTGTGCATATTAATTCATTTCATCTTCATAGCAACCTTTACATGGGGACTGCTTTTCATCTCCATTTGACAGATGCAGAAACCGAGCTGCAGTAACTTGGCCAAAATGACACAGCTGAGAGGCAAAGTTGTGCCTGGGGCGAGGCTGCCTCCAGAGTCACTGCCCTACAAGGTATTTAGTGAATGTGGCCAGAGCCGATGACCCTCGTCCCACCCAGCCAGGGGTGGATTGTGGGGCCAGGCCTCCTGGGTCTGGATTCTGTTCCTGACTCTGGTAGGCACTAGCTATGAGACCCGAGGCTAGTCATCCCACCGTTCTGAGCCTCAGTTTCCCCATGCTTAAAATTGGGATAACAGCATCCACCTCACAGGGTCGTGGTGAGAATTTGATGAGCTGCCCAAAAGGCTCGGACCAGTCCCAGACACACAGCAGACCTTCTGACTGTTTGCTCTTGCTAAGTTGGTGGTGAAGGAACTCACCTGCCCGTCGGTCTTCCCTGCGGTCCTCGGACAGCACATAGCGTTGGGTGCAAGCGCTTGGGGCCGGTGGCTGTGAGGAGGCGGCCGCGGGGGGCTGCTCGGCCCCTGCACCAGCTCCTGGCCCCGCCACCCCCGGCCCGAGGATGGCAAAAATGGTCTCCTCCTCAGCGGAGAAGGCGTCTTCGGCGGCAGGCCCAGCACCCTGCGTGGAGTGCGGCACGCGGGCCAGCTTCTCCTTGGTGCGGCGCTTGAAGTCGTTCCAGCGCTTCTGCACCTCCTGGCCAGTGCGCTTCCAGCTGGTGATGCCGTTGATCTTGGCCGCGATGCCGTCCCACACACGCCGCCGCTCCGCCACACTCACCCGACGGCTCTGCGCGCCGTAGAGCTGCGGGTAGTGGGCGCGCACCTCCCGGATCAGGATCTGGTTCTCTTCGAAGGAGAAGCGCGGCTTGCGCAGCCGGGTGGTCTCTTCCGCTTCGCCCGCCGCCGCCGCCGAGGCCATGGCGCCCCCCGACGCCGCCGTCCGGCTGCCTGGGGCATGGGGGGCGCCGGCGCTGCGGGCACAGGGCACACTGTGCTGGAGGGGGCTCCGCGTCCTGCGCCGCCAGCCCCACCCCGGCCGCTGCGACACTGGCTCTTAAGTCCCCGGGCGGATGGGGGGCGACGGGCCGTGGGGGACAGTCAAAGTGCCTAATAATGACTGACATCGTTGAGTGATCCTCTCGTGCCCGTGCGGCGCAGAGTGCCGAGCCGAGGAGTACATGGAAATTGGGGGAGGGTCTGAAGGGGTGCAGGGAAAGGAGAAAAAGCGGAAGAGGGGGTGTCTGCAGGAATTAGAGGAGAATGGGGGCACAGGGGAAATGGAAGGCGAATGGGGGTGTCTCGTAGGTCGAAGACGCGTGGGGGTGATGGGGCGAGAGATGCAGAAGGGGAGACGCAGCAAGGCGGGGGAGCCGTGGAGCAGAGGAGCGCTCCGGGGGTTCCGGGCCGATGGGACGTCTGTAATACCGCTACGAGACGGGGTCCTCGGAGGGGATGTACGGGCATAATGGTGAGTTGGGACTCCCAGGCAGTGGAGGAGCTGGGACGGTGAAATATTAGGAATTAGGGTCTGCAGGGATTGCAGGGGCTCTGGCGATTGCCAGACATTCAGGGGAGCTCTGGGGGAAATGGGGGTCTGGGGTTAGGAGGGGACACGGAGGCCCGGGGGGACTCCTGGAAGAGTGAGGGTCGCGGGGGGTGGGACCGAGTCGGGCCGCGGGTCACTCACCGGCGCCGCCGCAGCCCCCGCCTGCCCGTCGGTCAAGGCTCGGGCTTCTGCGGCCTCTTCCCTCTCCCCCGCCTCTCTCGGTCCCCCCACCTCTGGACCCCGCCTCCCGCGGCCGGGAGAGCCATGGCGCAGGCGCACCTAGGGCCAGTCGGTCCCCAACGCCCTTACCGCCTGGGTTTCATGCCTTCCCCCGGCCTCCGCCAGCGGGCCGCAGCCCCCAGATGCCATAGCGGCGCACGCGCAAAACCCTGTCTCACGCATGCGCGCCCCTCGCCTCGAGTCGTGGTACCCAAGTCTACTTCCCCGCGCAGGCGTGGCAATCCTTGGAGGAGGCGGGAGAGGTGATGGTTGAGAGCGTTGGGACCATGCGGCATCCCCGCCTTTCCGACAGCCTTTCAGCCCACCCGCGAGATTATTCTGCCTGTGTCTTTCCCTCTTGGAGAAAGGGGAGGGAGGCGGCGCTGGAGGGATGCGCTTGGCTTCATGACAACTGCGTGGCGCGATGCGGGGTTGAGGGGGTTGCCGTAAGAAAATCGAGCTGTCGCCCCCTTATAGCCGACCGTGCACGGGACTGCTTGGGATTTGCTAACCACCGATTACCCGTAGGGGCGGGGCACACTGGGGATATTCTGCCCCAGGCGGGCGCAGTAACTATGGCAACGCATAAATATTCCCACCTTTCCTGGGGGCCCCCCCTGTCCACACCTTTACATGCGAGGCACGGGAAGGGAGATCTGAGTGAGAGCGTCTTGGGTAGGGCGGGTAATCCTGGTGAGGTCATGACTTCGAGCCACTGCGTGGAGGCAGGAGTGAATCTAGAACACGGGCTGGGTGAGCTGGGCTAAGAAATTTGTAGTTTACTATCCTGCAAGAATCCTCAAGGTCATTCAACAAAAGGTGCTTCATGTATTCAACAAACACTTATTGAGCGCCAACACAGTTCCAGGTGCAGTGAGTACAAAAGACACAAACCTAGCCTTCATGGAGCTCACTTTTTAATACTTGGGAGGATCAGACAATTAACAAAATAATTAAGGCACATAAGTGAGAAGGTGGTAACTGTGATAAAAAAAATGGAAGGAAAGGGGGTTGGGGACTATGGTGTGTGTGTGCGTAATTTTAAAATCAGGTGGCTCTGGCCCTGGCTGGTGTGACTCAGTGAACTGAGGTGGCCTGTGAACCAAAGGGTTGCCAGGTTCGATTCCCAGTCAGGGCTCATGCCTGCCTGGGTTGCAGGCCAGGTCCCCAGTACGGGGCGCATGAGAGGCAACCACACATTGATGTTTCTCTCCCTTTCTCCCTCCCTCCCCCTGTCTAAAAATAAATAAAATAAATCTTAAAAAAATAATATAAGGTGGCCATGGGAGGCCTTGCAAGAAGGTGACATTGAGTAGAGAGGTGAAGCCGGTGAGGAAGCAAGTGCAACCAGGGGCAGGACTTTGCCTGTTGTTTTCCAGGAACATGGAGGAGGCCAGTGGGGATGGGGGGAGTCAGGGGCAGGCAGGATGTGGAGCCAGATGGTGTAGGGGCTCCGGGTCACTGTGAGGACTTCAGCCTTTACCTGACACAAGAGCCACGGGAGGACCCTGCACTGGGGAAGGACTCTATTTGATTCTGGTTTTAATAAGATTCCTCTGGGGCCCTGACTTTAGGGAACCAGGCTGGAAGCGGGGTGTCCAGTGAGAAGACCACTACAGTGGTTCAGGTGATGCTGGCTCCAACCAGGGAGGTAGCCAGGAGGTGGGATTGGGTACAGGAAGTGAGAGAAGGACAGAAGTCAAGGGTGACTCCAGTGTCTTTGGCCTGAGTAATAGGAAGGATGGAGCTGCCAGAAGCAAAGATGTGGAAGGCTGACAGAGGACCAGGAGTTCAAGTTGGCCTAAACTTGGGATGCTCATTAGTCACCCAAGTTCAAAGGGCAGGTAGGCAGTTGGGTATTTGGGTCTGGACTTCAGGGGAGAGGTTCAGTTTTGAGATAGAAATTTAGGAATTGTCAGTGCATAAATGACACGTAAGTCTCTAAGGCTGGAAGAGGGTAACGAGGGAGCAAGTGTATATAGAAAATTACTCTGGCCCTGGCTGGTGTGGCTCAGTGGATTGAGCATGGGCCTGTGAACCAAAAGGTTGCAGGTTCAATTCCCAGTCAGGGCACACACCTGGGTTGCAGGCTAGGTGCCCAGTAGGAGGTGTGTGAGAGGCAACCACACACTTTCTACCTTCCTTCCCCTCTAAAGATAAATAAATAAAATCTTATTTACCTTCTTCCTTCTACCTTCCTTCTACCTCTAAAGATAAATAAATAAAATCTTAAAGAAAAAAGAAGTCCACGCCCTGAGACAGGGGCACTCCACTTAGAAGACTAGGGCCAGCAGAGGAGGGTGGGGAGGAGTCACTGCAGAGCCAGCACTGTCTGATGCAGTGGAGGCCAAGCAGTGGTGCCGATGGAGGAGGAGGGAGGGGTCAGTGATGCTGACACTGCCTAGAGGCCAAGTCTGATGCAGACTGAGAACTGCCCCCTGGAACCAGCAAGAGAGAAGCCACCAGTAATCTTGAAAAGAGCCATTTTGGTGGTGTGGTGGGGGCAGTAGCTTGACTGGGTGGGTTCAAGAAAGAGTTAGAGGGAGCCAGTGTAGGGGATGCTTTGTAGAACAGAAACAGGATGGTATCTGAGGAGGAGGATGGGATTTTGATGTTACCCGAGCACGTCTGCCTGGGGCCAGCCGGTGGTGTGTGGGTCCTTGACTTCATGTAGGAAAGATTTCACAACACGAGTCCAGGTGGTCTGGAGATGTTTATCAAAGCTGGGGACAGTGAAACACAGGGAGGTCTTAGGGTAGAAGCAGCAGCAGGAGAGAGAAAGAGAAAAAGGGGGCCTTGGAGACAGGATCAGGGGTTTGGCCCGGGATGAGCTACCACTGCCCACTATTTCCCTGGTTGCAAATCTCCTGGGGACCCTTGGAGCTTAGGAGAATGAAAGCAGGGATATAAGGCGTGGGCGTGCTCTAGAGAGAGTGCACGGTGGGTCCTTTGTCTTGAGGCTTTCTTTCTTTGGCTACGGTAATCCTAGGGGAGGCCTCAGGGGAGGGTCTTAACAGAATACTCCATTAGCTTTCCAGGTGTGCCCTTCCATATGTTGATTCATCAAAATGTGTGTATAGAGGAGTCGCGTTATTTTCTGGTTAGTTTTATTTTTATTTTTTAAAGATTTTATTTATTTATTTTTAGAGAGAGGGTAAGTGAGGGAGAGAAGGAAACATCAATGTGTGGTTGCCTCTCAAGCGCCCGCTACTGGGGACCTGGCCTGAAACCCAGGCATGTGCCCTGACTGGGAGTTGAACCTACAACCCTTTGGTTCACAGGCCCATGCTCAATCCACTGAGCTACATCAGCCAGGGCAATTTTTAAAGAACATTACTGAAGAGGGACCAGAACCGGGTCGGTCTGTCCCATTAAGTCTGGAATATGCAAACCATTTGCTCCTAAGTGTCCCTGTTTAGGGAAGATTCACCTTGTGATTCATTAGCCGGCTGTAAATTGCTCACATTGTTTAGTCTTGTTTAATTATTTTGTCTCAATTTCCCGTATTCCACTCGTCAAGGAACTTCACCAGCTGCTTATTGTCCTTCCTGCCACATCCATGTGGCTCATTTCAGATGGCAGATGGAACAGTATGTTGTGTGCCAATGACAATGATCTCGAAGAGGGGAGATTGGTGCTGCAGAGGAGAAAGGGGAGAATTTCTGGAGTCACATCCTTGAGCAGGCATGGAGGGAGGGGTCCAGGGCCCAAGTGGAGAGCAGTCAGAGGGTCGAGGGCTGTTCAGCCACAGTGAGCCGGAGGAGGGGGCATACGGTCCTGGAGGCAGGCAGGCGGTGAGACTGGGTGTCAGGAACACACGAATTTTCCCCTTCGGTTCCTCATGTCCTCTCAGTAGAGTAGGAAGCAGGGTTGGGGTGAGGAGGCGGTGCTGAGGTTGTAGAGAGGAGAAAGCGTGAAATCATGAGTGAGGGGCCAAGGAAAGGTAGACACATAGAACCAATCACTTGAGGTTGTTGGATATGAAATTGAGACGAGATGAGTCGCTGTGGCTGCGTGTTGTTGTCTGGCCATATTGTTTTCAGTGGGTGCAGGTGCAGACTGGGTGGCAATGACTTTCACCAGGGCTGGATTTATAGAAGGTCCCACAATGTGCCCCATGAGGTGACAGGGTCCAACAGTCAGGGGCAGCCCCTGCAGGGCCTTATCGGCAAAGTTAAGGAGCTCGAATGCTATCCTTCAGGCAGTGGATTCTGAGCCAGCAAGCAAGCATCTGATGTGTGTTTTAGAAAGGTCCCCTGGCCTTTGTGTGGAGGGTGGCTGGGAGGGAGCAAGACTGTTGGCCAGAGTTAAGTAGGGAGTCTAGAGTAGGGGCAGAGAAGGGGTGGGAGTGGGGGGATACTGGACCAGGGCAGGGATGGTAGGAAAGGTAGAAATTGCCTGACCAGGTGGTTCAGTTGGTTGGAGCATTGTCCCATACACCAAAAGGTTGGAGGTTCAATCCCCAGTCAGGGTGCATATGGGAGGCAAGCAATCAATGTTTTTCTTTCTCTCTCTCTCTCTCAAATTAATAAAATATATCCTCGAGTGAGAATTAAAAACAAACAAAGGAATGGAGAAAGTAGCTGGAAGGCATTTGAAAGGCAGACTGTAAAGCGTGCAGAGACTTTCAGGCTGGTGGGCGGGAAGGGAGATGAGGAGGTGGCACCCAGTTCTCTGGCCCAGGTCCCAGTTGGGGGATAGGGTCATTTAGGATATGGTGAGTGTGAGGTGCTCAATGGGTGACATGTGTTGAATTGTGTCCCCCCAAAAAGAGATTTGAGGTCCTACCCCTCAGGACTGCAGAATGTGACCTTATTTGGAGTAAGAGATGTCATTAGTACAGTTGATGTCATCTTACAGTAAGGTGGGCCTTTCACCCAACATGACTGGTGTCCTCATAAGAAGAGAGCTCTGGCTGGTGTAGCTCAGTGGATTGAGCACAGGCCTGCAAATCAACAAAGAGTTGCTGGTTCGATTCCCAGCCTGGGCATATGCCTGAGTTGTGGGCCAGGT